AATGTAATTGTACAAAGGTGTATTCTGATGTTATGGCTAAGACACTGGTGTGGCTAAGACACCAGCATGGCTAAGACATTGAGATATTAAATATCTGCTATTGATTCTGCTTATTGTACATCTGTATATTCTAATGGCATGGTTAAAGCACAAGTGTGGCTAAGACACCTGAGTAGATGAATTATACTCAAGTAGAATCAATGGCAAATATTCAATGTCTCAATGTCTTAGCCATACTGGTGTCTTAGCCACACTGGTGTCTTAGCCACATCAGTGTCTTAGCTGCCCAAAGTCCTATATTTTAGCCAATTATTATGTATTAAAGCAATGGAATGTAATTGTACAAAGGCATATTCTGATGTTATGGCTAAGACTTTAAGGTGAAAAAGTGGTATTATAGGCCAATTCCAACCCAATGTTTGCAAGGTCTTATGCCTTAGTGGTATAACGCGCTGTGGTTACTTTCAGGCTGTGGGTTCGATTCCTGCCCGCGCCATTTTTTGGGGCTTTTCAGTGTCTTAGCCACTCATGGGCGCTTCTGAGTGGCTAGTCCGGTGTAACTTAATAAGTTCCCGTGTCTAGGCCGCCGAACTGAAACTCTTGGTCCTGTTTCCTGATGCACGGCGATCAAGAAGGGCGAGTTTGCTCCGTCGATTTGGCAGCGGAGTCAACAGCGACCAGAGGCCGCCTCCGTCTCTACAAGTCTTTCCGACGAAGATGTTACCAGTCTCGTACCTACCAACGAAGAGCTATTCCTGCCCGCGCCGGACAAGGCACAAGCTTCAAATCTATCAGACATCGAGAGATCGAATTCGCGAAGGGCGTAGAACCCATCAGCGGTACTCGTCCAGACGGAGCAGCCGCAACAGTGATGATGATATCGGCTCTGGTGGGGAGTTCCGAGAGTGGCGTGCATGGGTACCTTATTGCGCTTAGATGACTATGGAGTGTTCTATGTCATTTCACCTGTATATATTTTTCTCGCGGTCTCAAGCCTTTGCGGCCTTGTGGCGCTGTCTTGAACCTGGCACGGACCTCGAAGGCGACGTTAAAACCGGTCGGACCACTAGCAGTTGGCCGTGATTTTGGTTCTCCAAAAACGACCTTGCGGTCCAAGAGCTCTTTCTCGGCCGTCCGCTCGCAGTCAGCGGGCCGACCAGGGCGCGGGATGGGTGTGAGTGAGGTGCACCAAAGCACAGTGTCTGCCCTGGTCAGACACTGCCCCGGTCAGTTTGGCAGCACGGCAGCACGACTCCGAGTTTCGCCGCTATCTGCGTCCGCCTCTGGAGCATCCTGAGTTTATCTTGCGTGGTGGCGTCCCATGACCGTCGTTCCCTGCTGGTGCCTCGAAGCTATCTTCTGAACGTCTTATAGAATACGTGGCTGGTCGAGCAATATTTATGCTGTAGCAGCATGGAAGACGGCGTACACGACGCGGTGACTTTTGCGATTATTGCAAGCGCTGACGACCTGGATGACTCGAGCCGACGCTAGACTGCATGGTCCGCAGAACGATCCTGCTCCATGTATGTCAGGGATATATGGGTATTGAGCACCAGCGAAACGATTCACCGTCCCGCACCTCCGCTTGTTACTCTCACAAACCTCAATCGGGAGATAGCGAAGCTGGCATCATCGCCGTCTGACATAAATGCTTTCCGAGCTCGACTTTGCTCGCCCTTAACGGTACAGACGCAAACAATGCGACAATGCGAACGAGTTCCGGGGGGAGCGCAGGGGACAGTGTACATAGGTGACGAGCCGACAATCGTCTGGACAGCAGCTGAGAGTCGTCAGACAGCAGACTTACTAGTAGATCCTGCGCCTTCATCTCCGAGGGTTTCTACTACTAGGTGGTGTGAATAAATTGCACAACAGCCAGGATAAGCAGTATTTACTCAGGATGACTCCACTCGTGCAGCTAGGAGAGCTCGAGTATCAAGTATCAGGCACGGGAAACGAATGTGCCTGTCTCCCGCCAGGTCGTCATTCGTCAAAATCGGGACGCATCGCGAACTCCAGACACTATCTGTGGTCAAAACACACACTGGTCCAAGCAGAGCACCCGCATACCGGCGAGGGGCCCGTTTCGAAAGTTCGACCGGTCTCTGCCATACGGAAGAAACTGAAGAAACGTGACGCTCGCGGTAGTGATGGGAGGTGCCGGTGACGGTTCGCGACTGTCACGTCACTCGCGCCGCGTCGAAGCTTCCGTCTTCCCTCCTGTCTTCTAATTGGCCGTCGAACTTCCTCAGGCTCGCCTTCATCTGCCTGAAAGAATCCAAATTTTAGGCGGAAACATAAGACCTCTCCTGGACACACAACTTGACAGACGACACCAAAGAATGCAATGATGCAGACAAGAAGCACAGCAAGAGGAATCGATGCTCGACCTTGTCCAAGTCTCCGCAACTCCGTAGACGATCGGCAGCCGCAGAAGGACATGGAACGCCAGTTCCCCGAGCAGATGCATCGCACGCTGGAGACAGACGTCCTAGAGGTATGGATTATAGGGTACACTGTAGTACGCGATCGACCCCATCATGCCGCGAATTCCATGCTCACGCGCCTCCGCAGTCGTCGTCGGCGGTGTCGAACGACACGCGGCATGACCTGGCGCGAATCCCTCTATAGTAGATAGCGTTCCAGTGCATCCTGGCGGACACAAGCATCCAGATCCACGCGCGTCGCTGTGTCTGGTTGCGCAGGACCGCGGCCGTCCCGAACCGTTGTACTACACGCCGGACGTTCCCGTGCCCGACGGTACGTCTGAGTGAGGAGGAGAGGGACCTCGTGGACGCGCTGAGCTCAGTGTATGACCAGCTCGCACAAGGTGCCTGTAGGAGTTCGAGCTCGAGTTTTCTTGCGACGAGTTTTGAGAAGATTTTGTCGCGTTTCGCGTTCCGCGGTTGTTATCGCCCAAGCGTTTCTTTTTTACTGTTAATTTCGGAAAACTGCGACTCGAAAAGGACGAGCGGAGCGAGTTGTCCTCTGTTGCCTCATGGCTCGACGTTTGGTACCCCAACACAGTCTATTGTGTCAGGCTGAACGGGAATCACAACATTCGCTTTCACTGGGAGCTGGTGTGTAGTACTATATCCTCCTGCTCCTCCGCCGCGTTCTCATCGATAGCCAGACTGCTAATGGCCGGCAAAGAAAAGTGGCAAAGAATATATAGCCCTAGCAGTGTTCATGCTCAATCCTTTTGCCTGCGCCTGAAGAGCACATTGGCCTTCATATTTGGCACACGGGACGCGATATACCACGAGACGGGTGGGATCTCGGTGCTGTCACCTTCGAGCTTGACGTCATAGTTCAGCAGCAGGTTCGCCGTAATCATCTTCAACTCGAGGGCGGCGAAGAAGCGTCCAGGGCTGCACCGAATCCGGATCAGGATCTATGTCTGCAGAAAAATGTAAATTGGCTGGACATACCAGGCAGTCTTGCCGTGTCCAAAACTCAGGTACGTCGTTGTGGTGGTGGTCATCGACTGGGCGTTTGCCTCACCGCCACACTCGTCTACTTCGCGATAGAAGCGCCAAGGCTGGAAGGTGCCCGCATCCGCGTAGTTCCCATCGTCGTGATGCATTGCGCGGAGCGGTGCGGCGACGAATGTGCCCTTGGGGAGGATAGTTCCGTCGGACAGCGCAAAATCCTGCAATGCGAGCTTCGTC